TAGGGTTAGGGTTAGGGTTAACCCTAACCCTAACCCTAAACCTAACCCTAACCCTAACCCTAACCCTAACCCTAACCCTAACCCTAACCCTAACCCTAACCCTGATCCAGGACCCTAACCTAAACCATGATCCAGGACCCTAACCTTAACCCTAACCCAAACGGCTAACCCTGACCCAAGACCCTGACCCGTCTGCTGCGTCAAGATCCAATCAATGCTTCTTTGTCTTCAAAATTTTGATGAAAAGAATGTTCCAAAAATAACAAACAATGGAATGGTGGACTATTATACTTATATTTGTATTTAAGGGATGGTTCTTTGAACACAAGTCACCTGCATAGTCTCCGTATCACGTATCGCCCACTATTTGATAATACGGGCAACAGGCAACTCCATTTGAACTCCAAGTCCAACAGCTTAAGAGTTATGGTTTTGACTGATGATTTTGACTAATGATTTTATAGGGCAAAGCCTTGATCCGTGGGAACCATTAAGATGTAGTGTCAGTGACATAAATATGGTGTACGTGTCTTGTAATAGTTAAAGTTTAATAGTTTAGGCCCCAAATATTTGAGCAGTGTGGGAATTTGTAACTTTTTGTGTTCGTATAGTTTATGGTGTGTTTAATGTCAGTTTAAGATACTACATTAAGTTCTCATGTCATCTGCACACGAGCTGCATGAGCAGCAGCCCTACCGGACACAAAAATAAAATATATGTCCGGGCTATATCGCTATATCGCCCGCTGGTATGGTGGGTAGCCCGCTATCTCAGCGGGCTGTGACAGCGGGCCGGGATATATCAGGTCTTCTTACTAGCGGGCTGCGCGCGGGCCTGCTGGCGCAAATATAGCCCGCTGGTGGATATAAGTTTAACGTGTTTTGCCAGCCTTTTTAACCAGACCTTCCTTTTTCTTTCTGTTGCTCAATATCAATACAAAAACAAAACCTTAGGGCTGCAACAATTCATTAAACTAAACAGCTGATATATTTTAAAAATCTTAAAACTCTTAAATTCCTGATTGCTACTCCTCACACTCAACTCCACATTGCAGCTGTCATGTCTCCAAAGAACTACGCCAACAAATCTCTATACGGGATGGAGGACGCACCAAAGTACGCTTTGACAAGCTACTACCTCTTCGTACTGCTCTCCTGTGTAGTAGGTGACACCATTATCCTAGTAGCCAGTATAAAGTACAGAGCTCTCAGACTCCACCCTTTCATTACTCATGTTATTCAGAATATCGCTGTGAGTGATCTGATAGTTGCACTTGTTTACGTGCTTCCTAAGGTTATAGCAAAGATAGCTGATGGGTGGGTATTAGGGTATGGGCTATGCTATTTTACTGCGTATGGAACTTATTATTTCAGTTTAGCAGGTCTTCTTTTTATCTGTGTGTTGACTTCTAGTAAGCTGATTATATTGAAGGGTTCCCATGGAAGAAGGTCATTGTCTGCAAAGAAAGCTCAAATTGTTTTATTGTTACTCATAGTCCTAGTCTGAGAAATATCTACGGTTTTCCCACTATAGCACTATGCAGCCGCAGGAGTCATGTCGCGTATTTTGATATAATTAGTACTATACTGACACACAATAAAAAAACTGTTATAAGTGATTAACATCCCGTTGACTGTTCATCGATTCGGTTGATGGATAATACTATAATACCAAAAGACGCATTAGCACGCCACGTCTATTTTCTCTCCTTAACGACAATAAGGCTAACTTAAAGATTACTAGAAAGATGACTAGAACGACATGTGGGGTGGGCGACAATTGACCCCCGACAATTGACCCCCGACAATTGACCCCCCGACAATTGACCCCCCGACAATTGACCCCCCGACAATTGACCCCCGACAATTAACCCCCCGACAATTGACCCCCCGACAATTGACCCCCCCGACAATTGACCCCCGACAATTGACCCCCCGACAATTGACCTCCCGGCTGACCCTGACCCTGACCCTGACCCTGACCCTGACCCTGACCCTAAACCTAACCCTAACCCTAACCCTAACCCTAACCCTAACCCTAACCCTAACCCTAACCCTAACCCTAACCCTAAACCTAACCCTAACCCGAAACCCTAACCCTAACCCTAACCCTAACCCTAACCCTAACCCTGATCCAGGACCCTAACCTTAACCATGATCCAGGACCCTAACCTTAACCCTAACCCTAACGGCTAACCCTGACCCAAGACCCTGACCCGTCTGCTGCGTCAAGATCCAATCAATGCTTCTTTGTCTTCATAATTTTGATGAAAAGAATGCTCCAAAAATAACAAACAATGGAATGGTGGACTATTATACTTATATTTGTATTTAAGGGATGGTTCTTTGAACACAAGTCACCTGCATAGTCTCCGTATCACGTATCGCCCACTATTTGATAATACGGGCAACAGGCAACTCCATTTGAACTCCAAGCCCAACAGCTTAACAGTTATGGTTTTGACTGATGGTTTTGACTAATGATTTTATAGGGCAAAGCCTTGATCCGTGGGAACCATTAAGATGTAGTGTCAGTGACATAAATATGGTGTACGTGTCTTGTAATAGTTAAAGTTTAATAGTTTAGGCCCCAAATATTTGAGCAGTGTGGGAATTTGTGACTTTTTGTGTTCGTATAGTTTGTGGTGTGTTTAATTTCAGTTTAAGATACTACATTAAGTTCTCATGTCATCTGCACACGAGCTGCATGAGCAGCAGCCCTACCGGACACAAAAATAAAATATATGTCCGGGCTATATCGCTATATCGCCCGCTGGTATAGTTGGTAGCCCGCTATCTCAGCGGGCTGTGACAGCGGGCCGGGATATATCAGGTCTTCTTACTATCGGGCTGCGTGGGCCTGCTGGCGCAAATATAGCCCGCTGGTGGATATAAGTTTAACGTGTTTTGCCAGCCTTTTTAACCAGACCTTCCTTTTTCTTTCTGTTGCTCAATATCAATACAAAAACAAAACCTTAGGGCTGCAACAATTCATTAAACTAAACAGCTGATATATTTTAAAAATCTTAAAACTCTTAAATTCCTGATTGCTACTCCTCACACTCAACTCCACCCTGCAGCTGTCATGTCTCCAAAGAACTACGCCAACAAATCTCTATACGGGATGGAGGACGCACCAAAGTACGCTTTGACAAGCTACTACCTCTTCGTACTGCTCTCCTGTGTAGTAGGTGACACCATTATCCTAGTAGCCAGTATAAAGTACAGAGCTCTCAGACTCCACCCTTTCATTACTCATGTTATTCAGAATATCGCTGTGAGTGATCTGATGGTTGCACTTGTTTACGTGCTTCCTAAGGTTATAGCAAAGATAGCTGATGGGTGGGTATTAGGGTATGGGCTGTGCTATTTTACTGCGTATGGAACTTATTATTTCAGTTTAGCAGGTCTTCTTTTTATCTGTGTGTTGACTTCTAGTAAGCTGATTATATTGAAAAGTTCTCATGGAAGAAGGTCATTGTCTGCAAAGAAAGCTCAAATTGTTTGCGGAGTTATATGGGTTGTATCTCTAACTATTCCAGTAATGTTCTTTTTAGTTGACAAAACTGATGTGAAATTTGACTACAGAACTAATGTGTGCAGCTACCATTTCTCATCCTCCCGCTGGAAGTTACTCAAGCCTATACAAGCTCTTGTCTTTATGATTATTCCTAATTTGCTGGTGGTTGCGTGTACCGTACTTCTTGTGATACACCTGATAAAAGCAAGGAGAAGTGCTAAAAGATGCGGGGGAACGCAGCGATGGCAGGGCATAATGACTACAATCCTAACAGCTACAGTCTACTGTTTCTCCGTTCTCCCGTACGCAATATACCGCATCGCGGAGTCCAGCTCCACCGACCGCCAAGCATTCTTCCACAATGAATACCTACGGTTATCAGGGGTGTGCCTGTCCCTCAATACTATCAGCAACTTTTACATTTACTGTCTGACTGTTTCTAGTTTTAGAGAGTTTCTGTGGTTGCAGTTACATTACAGTGCTTCGTATGTGTACAATTCCAGTTCTAGTAGAGGTTCTTCCAGCGATGGCCGTTGCAGTAGATATGTTACTACTAGTAAGTTATTTGTTATGGGTAATTAAGAATCCTGATACTTTTTGCAGTAGATATGTTACAACTAGTAAGTTATTTGTTATGGGTAATTAAGAATCCTGATACTTTTTGAATCGATTGCACTTGCAGGGAGGAAATATATGTGTCTCCAATTTCAATTATACCATGCATATACCAGAGGAATTTGCTGATAGACAGTCATAAATTATTTAACATACGTTACTTTTCTAGTAGCAGTAAAATTATCTATAAGGTATTAAATATTTCCATTTTCCAGGAGCTGATACCACAAAACGTTGCCAGCCACAGCCAGAACCATCATGTCATTGGACGCGGGATATTAGAGGGGGGTCACGGCGCGAAGCTGTTCTGGCTCTGCAAACAGTACGTCATACAGAACAAAGTCAGGGTAATGTGGGAGAGATAGGGGGAAACGAGGATACAGACTCGAAGGAAGAGAGTGCTCAAGAAAGTGATTTTAATTTGACGTCAGTAACTTTTAATATAATTCATAATCCTGTTGCAGTAAGTATTTAGTGGATTACCACACACCGCTTATTTTAGCTGTTCTTAAGAATAAAATGCATATAATTATATGCGTATGTCAGTTTTTGGTGTACAAACCGTACATATATTACATTTTTGTAATTTGTTTTATTTTATACTGCAGAAGTATTCTGTATTAATAATAACGAAGTACTATTGTAGCTAATTTGAAATTTCTGAGTGTATTGCTGTTCATCATACTTACTATCGAACGAATCTAATCATAATTCTAAGTGTAAAGGCATTCTGCAAAGCAATTGGCCTTGATAAATTTATATTGAAGACATAAAATTTCGAGAGAAATGTGAAATGAAATTATTTTAATTTTGTTAGATACCTTTCGGCAAGGTGCCATAAGTACATATAATTAAAACGCGGGATATCACTATAACATATTCAGAATTAAAAGTATAAAATCTCTGTAATATATCACTATCTTTCGTCTAACAATTGAAACTCAAAACAAAATAACTCAACAATAAAGCAGAATTACACACGTAGCACGTCGCCTTTCTGCCGCCAGTGAATTTTTAGCTTAGCAAAAATCTCTCAACTAAAAACCCGAAACATTGTATCCTGGTTAAAATACGTCTGTGGCGGCAAAAATGAATTTTCTTGTCGCATTTTTAAATTAAAAAATTTGAAATCAAAATAAAGCAGCCCCTTCGAAGCGGAAAACTGATTTGGTTAACAAATTTAACAAAAATGCTCCACTTTCTTCAATCGCTATACAAACAGATCGTTGTAAATAAGTCATAAATGAAACAATGCGTATTTACAGTTTCCTGTCCAGGTCTCCTAGTAAAATGTATCGAGTGTTTGAGTGTTGAGCTGAATAGATTAAAATCGTGAAAAACTGCACGTTATGGGGAGCCGCGCACATTTCTCATGTGATTATCACGTGATGGACACGTGAGTTATGAATTGATGTTTGTCAGCCGCAGTCCTAGTTTGTCGGCTAATGTAACCGAATCTCATGGCCCCTTTCTTTTGATTCTGTTCTGGGTCGCAACACTACCCCGAAATGCTGAGAAATGCATGCAATCTAACTAGTCGAGTCGCTAGTCTTTCTTTGAGTCGCTGTCGGATGAACTTGACGACGATGATGAACTCGATGAGGAAGAGCTCGATGAGCTCGATGATGATTTTGATGATTTTGAACCCTTCTTTCTCCTCTTCGTCTTCTTCTTCTTCTTTTTGCCGAAACCGAGGGCGCCTAACAAACCGCCGCCGCCTCCTAAACTGATATCAGCACTAGCATCTCCACCAGCACCTCCACCGATTTCTAATCCCGCTCCGCCACCTGCACCGACATCTACATCAGCACCAGCGCCAGCACCAGCACCTAGGTCAGCACCTCCACCAATACCTCCACCAAGGCTCAGACCTCCACCGAGACCACTTCTGATATCAGCATCAGCTTTAACCTCAGGGGCAGCGACAGTAATGTCAGCATCAAGATCAGCACCTCCACCAAGGCTCAGACCACCACCGAATCCACTTCCGATATCGGCATCAGCTTTGACCTCAGGGGCTGCAACAGCAACGTCAGCATCAAGGTCGGCACCCCCACCGAAACCTCCACCAAGGCTCAGACCTCCACCAAATCCACTTCCAATGTCAGCATCAGCTTTGACCTCAGGGGCTGCAACAGCAACATCAGCATCAAGGTCGGCACCGCCGCCAAGATCAATGTCACCGCCAAAACCTCCACCAAGGCTCAGACCACCGCCGAATCCACTTCCAATGTCAGCATCAGCTTTAACCTCAGGGGCTGCAACAGCAACATCAGCATCAAGGTCGGCACCGCCGCCAAGATCAATGCCACCGCCAAGATCTCCACCAAGGCTCAGACCACCACCGAAACCACTTCCGATATCGGCATCAGCTTTGACCTCAGGGGCTGCAACAGCAACATCAGCATCAAGATCAACACCACCGCCAAGATCAATGTCACCGCCAAGACCTCCACCAATACTTGCATCTGGAGCATCAGCGCTGGCTCCTAGATTTACGTCTACATCTGGAACACTAGCACCGAATCCGAATCCGAAGCCTCCTTTCTTCTTCTTTTTCTTCGAATCGTCACTGGATGATGATGACGATGACTTAGATCCTTTGACTTTGATACCACCACCAAGACCGCCTCCGAAACTAAGGTCTGGTCCGCTAACATCGGCTCCACCTTTTCCAAACAAATCAGCCTCTAAACTAGCGCCGGTGTCTACGTCTACACTAGAGTTAACTTCTGGTGCTGCGACCTTGACATCAGTATCTAATCCTCCTCCGATTCCTCCACCAATTCCTCCTCCAAATCCTCCACCGATATCACCTCCACCAGAGACTTTTACGTCAGGTGCAGATACATCAACTTCTGGGCCTTTCACATCTACTCCACCACCCAAATTTAAGTCAACATCAGGTCCACTGGCTTTGCCACCTAATCCGAATCCGAATCCACCTTTCTTCTTTTTCTTAGAGTCATCGCTAGAGGATGAAGATGATGATTTTGATCCTTTTCCATTGATTTTGATTCCACCACCGAGGCCACCACCGATGTCTCCACCGATACCACCGCCGATTCCACCGCCGATGCCACCACCTACCTTCAGATCAGCATCAACATCTCCGCCGATTGATCCGCCTTTCTTGGCGTCAGCATCCATTTTGATATTAAGGTCAGGGGAAGCTTTTTGGACGTTGAGGTCGAGTCCACCCAGCTTCTTGGATTTTTTGCTTCCTTTCACCTTCTTCTTTCCTTTCTTTGATGGAACGCAAAGTCCTCCACCGTTCACAGAGTCATCTGAGAAGTTGGCATCAACATTACCGTCAACTGCTGCACCGACTGTTATGTTAGCATCAGGCTGGGGTCCCTTTGCTTTGCCCCTGAATTTGGGCCATTTGAAACCACCCTTAGCTTTGGGTTTCTTCACATCCAGATCAACGTCAGCTTTTGGACCATTAACATCAATGTCGGCACCGCCACCAATCTTCAGGTCAAGATCAACATCTCCTTTCGGTGCTTCTACTTTAGGTCCTTCTATTTTGACGTCGGGACCACTGATATCACCATTAAGACTACCGTCTATACTACCCTTAAGTTTAGCATCAGCATTGAGATCTATATCAGGGCTTTTGGCTTTTCCACCGAATCCGAAATTGGGGAATTTGAAACCTCCCTTTCCTTTAGGTTTCTTCATATCCAGATCAAGGTCTGCTTTGGGACCTTTAATGTCAATATCTGCATCACCTCCTATGTTCAGGTCAGCGTCTAGGTCTGCCTTTGGTGCTTTAACGTCGAGATCAGCTCCTCCACCTAGATTCAAATCAACATCGACATCTCCTTTAGGTGCTTTAACTTTCGGTCCTTTGACCTTGATATCTGGTCCACTGCCACTGAGGCTTCCACTGATGCTACCATCAATCTTTGGTCCCTTGACCTTTCCTCCTCCTGATCCTCCGAACCCGAAGGATGGGAATTTGAAACCACCACCACCGCCACCACCGATATTCACGTCTGCGTCTGGTGCTTTAACATCGACATCAACATCAGGTCCTTTAACGTCGAGATCAGCTCCTCCACCTAGATTCAAATCAACATCGACATCTCCTTTAGGTGCTTTAACTTTCGGTCCTTTGACCTTGATATCTGGTCCACTGCCACTGAGGCTTCCACTGATGCTACCATCAATCTTTGGTCCCTTGACCTTTCCTCCTCCTGATCCTCCGAACCCGAAGGATGGGAATTTGAGTTTGGGGCCTCTGATATCTGCGTCTAAATCAGCATCCACCTGAAAAGGGAATCGTTATAAAAATCAAGTAAATAGGTGATAAATTAACATGGAACTTCCTTAAGTAAGTTATAAATCGTAAACTGAGTGGCCGAGTTTGCTGATTGCACTGCATTAGTTTGCTACATAACCAAGTCTTTGAAGCTAAGCCCAGGGTGGGATCGAAGCTACCGGTCGTAATGACCATTATGTACGAAAAAAGTTTAAAAATTGTAATACATAAACAAAAACTTTTTAAATCTATATTTATAACAATTGTTGTTATGTTAAAATAAAACTTACGTCTACTTTAGGACCATTAATATCAACATCGGGTCCTTTAACGTCAAGATCAGCTCCTCCACCAAGATTCAAATCAACATCAACATCTCCTTTAGGTGCTTTAACTTTCGGTCCTTTGACCTTGATATCTGGTCCACTGCCACTGAGGCTTCCACTGATGCTACCATCAATCTTTGGTCCCTTGACCTTTCCTCCTCCTGATCCTCCAAACCCGAAGGATGGTAATTTAAAGGATGATTTTCCCTTTACTTTAGGTGCCTTTATGTCTGCATCTATGTCGGCCTGAAATTTTACCAATTAAAATCGAGATATTGCCTTCACAAACAATTTCATCATTGACATTTAAAAAATTAATGTGAACAAAATGTGCAACCAATGGTAATTAATTAATGAAAAGTTGGATGAATAACAAACAATATCACGCTGTCACGATATTTACATGCGATTTGTCATCACAATGGTTGCCGTGTTAGAATAAAACTTACGTCTACTTTAGGGCCATTTATATCAACATCGGGTCCTTTAACGTCGAGATCAGCTCCTCCACCAAGATTCAAATCAACATCGACATCTCCTTTAGGTGCTTTAACTTTTGGTCCTTTGACCTTGATATCTGGTCCACTGCCACTGAGGCTTCCACTGATGCTACCATCAATCTTTGGTCCCTTGACCTTTCCTCCTCCTGATCCTCCGAACCCGAAGGATGGGAATTTGAAACCACCACCACCACCGATATCCACGTCTGCGTCTGGTGCTTTAACATCGACATCAACATCAGGTCCTTTAACGTCGAGATCAGCTCCTCCACCTAGATTCAAATCAACATCGACATCTCCTTTAGGTGCTTTAACTTTCGGTCCTTTGACCTTGATATCTGGTCCACTGCCACTGAGGCTTCCACTGATGTTACCGTCAATCTTTGGTCCCTTGACCTTTCCTCCTCCTGATCCTCCGAACCCGAAGGATGGGAATTTGAAACCACCACCACCACCGATATCCACGTCTGCGTCTGGTGCTTTAACATCAACATCAACATCGGGTCCTTTAACGTCGAGATCAGCTCCTCCACCTAGATTCAAATCGACATCGACATCTCCTTTAGGTGCTTTAACTTTAGGTCCTTTGACCTTGATATCTGGTCCACTGCCACTGAGGCTTCCACTGATGCTACCATCAATCTTTGGTCCCTTGACCTTTCCTCCTCCTGATCCTCCGAACCCGAAGGATGGGAATTTGAAACTACCACCACCACCACCACCGATATCCACGTCTGCGTCTGGTGCTTTAACATCGACATCAACATCAGGTCCTTTAACGTCGAGATCAGCTCCTCCACCTAGATTCAAATCAACATCGACATCTCCTTTAGGTGCTTTAACTTTAGGTCCTTTGACCTTGATATCTGGTCCACTGCCACTGAGGCTTCCACTGATGTTACCGTCAATCTTGGGTCCCTTGACCTTTCCTCCTCCTGATCCTCCAAACCCGAAGGATGGGAATTTAAAGGACGATTTCTTTCCCTTGACTTTAGGTCCCTTAACGTTTGCTTCTAGGTCGGCCTGAAGACAATATCGTAAAAAGGGAAATCTTAATTTTACAATTTAGAATATAAAAATATTTAAGGACAGCCCCTTAAAGCGGCAAAATGAAAACTCGCTTTTGGAGCATGTTGATGAGTAAAGTGCCTAATTTAAAGGATTATTTTCGTATCTTGAAGACAGATCGATCGTTGAATAAACAACTATTTTGAACAAATAATCCAGCTATTGGAATTACGTATGAATTTAGTTAAATCCAGCAATTTTTGCGCTAAACTACAGTAATAACTTGGTGTAGTGTAAAAACTAAAACTTACATCTACTTTAGGACCACTGATATCAATATCGGCTCCACCACCGATGTCCAAGTCTGCTTTTGGTGCTTTGACGTCAACGTCAACGTCAGGTCCTTTAACGTCGAGATCAGCTCCTCCACCAAGATTCAAATCAACATCGACATCTCCTTTAGGTGCTTTAACTTTCGGTCCTTTGACCTTGATATCTGGTCCACTGCCACTGAGGCTTCCACTGATGTTACCGTCAATCTTTGGTCCCTTGACCTTTCCTCCTCCTGATCCTCCGAACCCGAAGGATGGGAATTTAAAGGATGATTTTCCCTTTAATTTAGGTCCTTTAACGTTTGCATCCAAGTCTACGTCCGCTTTTGGAGCATCAATGTCGGCCTGAACGTTATTTCTTTGGTAAAATAACCGTCGAATTTGAAGCATAAAAAGAGCTTGCAAATTTAAATTTCTTGATCAGTGAGTTGACACGTTAAAAAAACAAATTACCTTAATCTTAGGAGCGCTTACATCTGCGTCGAGATCACCACCTGGGAAAAGTGAAACGTTATAAAAGAGTTTAGATTCTAGGGTTAAATTAATATAAAGAACAATGTGCTTTGGAAACAATTAACTAATTAACGATCAAGGAAAATGTGCTCAACTAATGTATTTAGATAAGACATGTGGGTCGAAAAATTGATGTTGTCTTTAGTAGAATATTGCCAGAAAAGGCTTTTCTTGAAATTTTTTCCCGAGGGAAAACAGTGATAAACCTTAATTTATGGTGCAAATGGAGATATACCACGCCGAATATTATGAGTTTATACTATTAGTATTACAGTCCTTTAGTACAGACTTGATGTTTATATCAAGTGTTTCTTAATTGTGTATCGAGGTTATACCGGTAAAAAGGAGTGCTTGATTATGCTTATTTAAGGAAAATTGTTTATAAAATAACATCCACAAACACAGTTATATTTCCAGCTTATGTATATTACGTAATGATAGGATAGCTTTGATGTCATCAGATCTTTGTCGAAATAGAAATTTCAACAATAGCAGATAGCAATTAAATGGGCTCCCAATCGCATGCCACATTAAAATATATTGAATCGACTAGTTCATAACTTCATGAGGAGCAAGTCAATAACGTTATGATTTACAAAAAATAATAATCGTAAACAATCACAAACAGAACAATCACCGAAATCAGCAACAAAGACATGCAGTGCTATACTTACCAACTGGAATATCTACATCGGCATCACCCTTCAATGTTAGATCAACATCAGCATCGCCTTTTCCACCGAATCCAAACCCGAAGCCCCTTTTCTTTTTCTTTTCGTCATTACTAGAGCTACTTGAACTACTTGAGCCGCTTTTCTTTCTGCCGAATCCAAATCCAAAGCCACCTTTACCTTCAAGATGGGGCTTCTCTATATCTACATCTCCCTTTACTTTAGGAGTTTTAACCTTGATATCAGCATCTGGTTTGTCGGCCTTCACCTTGATTTTAGGATCTGGGATATCAATGTCAGCGTCTCCTTTAAGCTTGAGATCAATATCGGCATCACCTTTGCCGCCGAGACCAAACTTGAAGCTTCCTTTCTTTTTCTTCTTTTTCTTGTCGTCATCACTTGAACTACTGGAGCCACTTTTCTTGCCACCAAATCCTATACCAAAACCTCCTTTGCCTTTAGGTTTTTTGATATCTACATCCACATCTCCCTTTACTTTAGGAGTTTTAACCTCAATATCAGCATCTGGTTTGTCAGCCTTCACCTTGATTTTAGGATCTGGAATATCAATATCTGCGTCTCCTTTCAGTTTCAGGTCAACATCAGCATCACCACTGCCGCCGAGACCAAATTTGAAACCTCCCTTCTTCTTTTTCTTGCCGTCATCACTTGAACTACTAGAGCCACTTTTTTTGCCACCAAATCCAATACCAAAACCTCCTTTGCCTTTAGGTTTTTTGATATCTACATCCACATCTCCCTTTACTTTAGGAGTTTTAATCTTAATATCAGCATCTGGTTTGTCGGCTTCGACCTTGATTTTAGGATCTGGAATATCAATGTCAGCGTCTCCTTTAAGCTTGAGATCAACATCGGCATCACCTTTGCCGCCGAGGCCAAACTTGAAGCTTCCTCTCTTTTTCTTCTTTTTCTTGTCATCATCACTTGAACTACTAGAGCCACTTTTCTTGCCGCCAAATCCTATACCAAAACCTCCTTTGCCTTTCGGTTTTTTGATATCTACATCCACATCTCCCTTTACATTAGGAGTTTTAACCTTGATATCGGCATCTGGTTTGTCAGCCTTGACCTTGATTTTAGGATCTGGGATATCAATATCTGCTTCTCCTTTTAGTTTGAGGTCAACATCGGCATCACCACTGCCGCCGAGACTAAATTTGAAACCTCCCTTCTTCTTTTTCTTGCCGTCATCACTTGAACTACTGGAGCCACTTTTTTTGCCACCAAATCCAATACCAAAACCTCCTTTGCCCTTAGGTTTTTTGATATCTACATCCACATCTCCCTTTACTTTAGGAGTTTTAATCTTAATATCAGCATCTGGTTTGTCGGCTTTGACCTTGATTTTAGGATCTGGAATATCAATGTCAGCGTCTCCTTTAAGCTTGAAATCAATATCGGCATCACCTTTGCCGCCGAGGCCAAACTTGAAGCTTCCTCTCTTTTTTTTCTTTTTCTTGTCATCATCACTTGAACTACTAGAGCCACTTTTCTTGCCGCCAAATCCTATACCAAAACCTCCTTTGCCTTTCGGTTTTTTGATATCTACATCCACATCTCCCTTTACTTTAGGAGTTTTAACCTTGATATCGGCATCTGGTTTGTCAGCCTTGACCTTGATTTTAGGATCTGGGATATCAATATCTGCGTCTCCTTTTAGTTTGAGGTCAACATCGGCATCACCACTGCCGCCGAGACCAAATTTGAAACCTCCCTTCTTCTTTTTCTTGCCGTCATCGCTTGAACTACTAGAGCCACTTTTCTTGCCACCAAATCCAATACCAAAACCTCCTTTGCCCTTAGGTTTTTTGATATCTACATCCACATCTCCCTTTACTTTAGGAGTTTTAATCTTAATATCAGCATCTGGTTTGTCGGCTTTGACCTTGATTTTAGGATCTGGAATATCAATGTCAGCGTCTCCTTTAAGCTTGAGATCAATATCGGCATCACCTTTGCCGCCGAGGCCAAACTTGAAGCTTCCTTTCTTTTTCTTCTTTTTCTTGTCATCATCACTTGAACTACTAGAGCCACTTTTCTTGCCGCCAAATCCTATACCAAAACCTCCTTTGCCTTTAGGTTTTTTGATATCTACATCCACATCTCCCTTTACTTTAGGAGTTTTAACCTTGATATCGGCATCTGGTTTGTCAGCCTTGACCTTGATTTTAGGATCTGGGATATCAATATCTGCGTCTCCTTTCAGTTTGAGGTCAACATCGGCATCACCACTACCACCGAGACCAAATTTGAAACCTCCCTTCTTCTTTTTCTTGCCGTCATCACTTGAACTACTAGAGCCACTTTTCTTGCCACCAAATCCAATACCAAAACCTCCTTTGCCTTTAGGTTTTTTGATATCTACATCCACATCTCCCTTTACTTTAGGAGTTTTAATCTTAATATCAGCATCTGGTTTGTCGGCTTTGACCTTGATTTTAGGATCTGGGATATCAATGTCAGCGTCTCCTTTAAGCTTGAGATCAATATCGGCATCACCTTTGCCGCCGAGGCCAAACTTAAAGCTTCCTCTCTTTTTTTTCTTTTTCTTGTCATCATCACTTGAACTACTAGAGCCACTTTTCTTGCCGCCAAATCCTATACCAAAACCTCCTTTGCCTTTAGGTTTTTTGATATCTACATCCACATCTCCCTTTACTTTAGGAGTTTTAACCTTGATATCAGCATCGGGTTTGTCAGCCTTGACCTTGATTTTAGGATCTGGGATATCAATATCTGCGTCTCCTTTCAGTTTGAGGTCAACATCGGCATCACCACTGCCGCCGAGACCAAATTTGAAACCTCCCTTCTTCTTTTTCTTGTCGTCATCACTTGAACTACAAGAGCCACTTTTCTTGCCACCAAATCCAATACCAAAACCTCCTTTGCCTTTCGGTTTTTTGATATCTACATCCACATCTCCCTTTACTTTAGGAGTTTTAACCTTGATATCGGCATCTGGTTTGTCAGCCTTGACCTTGATTTTAGGATCTGGGATATCAATATCTGCGTCACCTTTCAGTTTGAGGTCAACATCGGCATCACCACTGCCGCCGAGACCAAATTTGAAACCTCCCTTCTTCTTTTTCTTGCCGTCATCACTTGAACTACTAGAGCCACTTTTCTTGCCACCAAATCCAATACCAAAGCCTCCTTTGCCTTTAGGTTTTTTGAAATCTACATCCACATCTCCCTTTACTTTAGGAGTTTTAATTTTAATATCAGCATCTGCTTTGTCGGCTTTGACCTTGATTTTAGGATCTGGAATATCAATGTCAGCGTCTCCTTTAAGCTTGAGATCAATATCGGCATCACCTTTGCCGCCGAGGCCAAACTTGAAGCTTCCTTTCTTTTTCTTCTTTTTCTTGTCATCATCACTTGAACTACTAGAGCCACTTTTCTTGCCGCCAAATCCTATACCAAAACCTCCTTTGCCTTTCGGTTTTTTGATATCTACATCCACATCTCCCTTTACTTTAGGAGTTTTAACCTTGATATCGGCATCTGGTTTGTCAGCCTTGACCTTGATTTTAGGATCTGGGATATCAATATCTGCGTCACCTTTCAGTTTGAGATCAACATCGGCATCACCACTGCCGCCGAGACCAAATTTGAAACCTCCCTTCTTCTTTTTCTTGTCGTCATCACTTGAACTACAAGAGCCACTTTTCTTGCCACCAAATCCAATACCAAAACCTCCTTTGCCTTTAGGTTTTTTGATATCTACATCAACATCTCCCTTTACTTTAGGAGTTTTAATCTTAATATCAGCATCTGGTTTGTCGGCCTTGACCTTGATTTTAGGATCTGGGATATCAATATCTGCGTCTCCTTTCAGTTTCAGTTCAACATCGGCATCACCACTGCCGCCGAGACCAAATTTGAAACCTCCCTTCTTTTTTTTCTTGCCGTCATCACTTGAACTACTAGAGCCACTTTTCTTGCCACCAAATCCAATACCAAAACCTCCTTTGCCTTTAGGTTTTTTGATATCTACATCCACATCTCCCTTTACTTTAGGAGTTTTATTCTTAATATCAGCATCTGGTTTGTCGGCCTTAACCTTGATTTTAGGATCAGGGATATCAATGTCAGCGTCTCCTTTAAGCTTGATATCAATATCAGCATCACCTTTGCCCCCGAGGCCAAACTTGAAGCTTCCTCTCTTTTTCTTCTTTTTCTTGTCATCATCACTTGAACTACTAGAGCCACTTTTCTTGCCGCCAAATCCTATACCAAAACCTCCTTTGCCTTTCGGTTTTTTGATATCTACATCCACATCTCCCTTTACTTTAGGAGTTTTAACCTTGATATCGGCATCTGGTTTGTCAGCCTTGACCTTGATTTTAGGATCTGGGATATCAATATCTGCGTCTCCTTTCAGTTTGAGTTCAACATCGGCATCACCACTGCCGCCGAGACCAAATTTGAAACCTCCCTTCTTCTTTTTCTTGCCGTCATCACTTGAACTACTAGAGCCACTTTTCTTGCCACCAAATCCAATACCAAAACCTCCTTTGCCTTTAGGTTTTTTGATATCTACATCCACATCTCCCTTTACTTTAGGAGTTTTTATCTTAATATCAGCATCTGGTTTGTCGGCCTTAACCTTGATTTTAGGATCAGGGATATCAATGTCAGCGTCTCCTTTAAGCTTGATATCAATATCGGCATCACCTTTGCCCCCGAGGCCAAACTTGAAGCTTCCTCTCTTTTTCTTCTTTTTCTTGTCATCATCACTTGAACTACTAGAGCCACTTTTCTTGCCGCCAAATCCTATACCAAAACCTCCTTTGCCTTTCGGTTTTTTGATATCTACATCCACATCTCCCTTTACTTTAGGAGTTTTAACCTTGATATCGGCATCTGGTTTGTCAGCCTTGACCTTGATTTTAGGATCTGGGATATCAATATCTGCGTCTCCTTTCAGTTTGAGTTCAACATCGGCATCACCACTGCCGCCGAGACCAAATTTGAAACCTCCCTTCTTCTTTTTCTTGCCGTCATCACTTGAACTACTAGAGCCACTTTTCTTGCCACCAAATCCAATACCAAAACCTCCTTTGCCTTTAGGTTTTTTGATATCTACATCCACATCTCCCTTTACTTTAGGAGTTTTTATCTTAATATCGGCATCTGGTTTGTCGGCCTTGACCTTGATTTTAGGATCTTGGATATCAATGTCAGCGTCTCCTTTAAGCTTGAGATCAATATCGGCATCACCTTTGCCGCCGAGGCCAAACTTGAAGCTTCCTTTCTTTTTCTTCTTTTTCTTGTCATCATCACTTGAACTACTAGAGCCACTTCTCTTGCCGCCAAACCCTATACCAAAACCTCCTTTGCCTTTAGGTTTTTTAAGGTCGATATCAACATCGCCACTCACATCTACATCTCCCTTTACTTTAGGAGTTTTAACCTTAATATCGGCATCAGGTGTGTCAGCCTTGACCTTGATTTTAGGATCTTGGATGTCAATGTCTGCATCTCCTTTAAGCTTGAGGTCAATATCAGCATCACCTTTGCCGCCGAGACCAAACTTGAAGCTCCCCTTCTTCTTTTTCTTTCCGTCATCACTTGAGCTACTCCCTCCAAACCCAAATCCGAAGCCGCCCTTGCCTTCAACTTTGGGTTTCTTTACATCAACGTCCCCACTAACGTTGGGACCTTTAACATGGATATCCCCGCTCGGTTTTGCAGGATTAACATCAATATCAATATCAGCAATATTCACATCAGCATTCGGAGATGGTAGTTTACCTCCTGATCCTCCTGTAAAGATGGTAGACTGCTAGAATTCCTCCTAATATTCAGCAAAAACGCATCATTCATTGAATGTAGTGAATGTAGTGAATGAAAGGATGGAATGTAGTGAATGTTGGACATTAAGGATGGAATATAGTGAATGTTGGACATTAAGGATGGAATGTTGTGGGTAGTCAGCTAGAAACCCTTCTATTATCTGGTAAAAACGTGTAATTGATGGATGGAATGTTGTGAACATTGTGAATGATGTGAATGTTGTGAATGTTGTTATATAACTCTCGAAGGGTATGTGAACATAATTTGACTATTGATGAAGCTGTGTAATAATTTGGCAAGCTTATCAGAGATTGGAATAGAATTGTCAGTGTATAACATGCCTTTGTACCTGTGAGCCACAATCTCACATGTGAATCTTCCTATTGAGTATTGGCATGGGTGAATGATGACTTTTCAATAAAAATAACCTCAGTTATAATAAATACCAGCATTAACAAGCAATATCATTTTCATTTGATTGAACACAGAAGATTGTTGTTCATCGGCGTACTCGCAAACTTTTCATAGCAAAGATGCAGTTAAGAATGGTAATAAGTTTTATGCAATTTCATCATCACAGCATCATAAAATATGCGGAACTGAAACGTTACATGCAAACTACACTTACCAAGATCAGCATCTGCCTTCACGTTGAGATCAACGTCGGGAGTATCAATACCACCCTTTGCTTTACCACCGAATCCGAAGCCAAAGCCTCCCTTCTTCTTCTTCTTCTTGCCATCATCACTGGATGATGAAGAAGAGTCTCCCTTCTTCTTTCCGCCGAATCCAAAACCAAATCCTCCTCCAATTTTTGGTTTGTCAACGTCAATATCACCTCCTAATAATGTTACAGGTGTTATAACTTAATACAAACATGATAACCAATCAGGAGATACCGAGTAAATCGAAAAATTCATGATTACAAATGCGCCACAAATTTCAGGTAGCATTTTTGGATTTGTTAGCTTCTAACTAGGGAAGCTACCGATTAAAAATATACTGTTGCTCAACGCTAAAAACGTTTTAGAACTTTGTGGCAAATTAAATTCTTTTAAGACTAAATTTAAATCCCAGGTCTTCTAACCTATATAATATTATTATAAAATACTATAATATATATATTATATCGCTATATGTAAAAATACTGTACCTATATCGATATCTGCTCCACCACCAATATCTACGTCTGCACCTCCACCAATATCAATATCGGGAGCGTCAGCTTTAACCTTGATTTCTGGCTCAGGAACATCAATATCGGCATCTGCTTTGACGTTGAGGTCAACATCAGGTGTGTCAATACCACCTTTAGCTTTTCCTCCCATGCCAAATTTAAAGCTAGACTTCTTCTTCTTCTTTTTCTTCTTATCATCATCACTGGACCCTGATCCCTTTCCACTAAACCCGAAGCCGAATCCTCCTTTTGGCTTCTTTACGTCTAGATCAACGTCTGCTCCACCGCCAATATCGATATCAGCACCTCCACCAATATCAACATCAGGAGCATCAGCCTTGACCTTGATTTCTGGCTCAGGAACATCAATGTCGGCATCTGCTTTGACGTTCAAGTCAACATCTGGAACATCGACGCCACCCTTGGCTTTGCCGCCGAATCCGAATCCAAATCCTCCCTTCTTCTTCTTTTTCTTGTCATCATCACTGGATGATGAAGAAGAGTCTCCCTTCTTCTTTCCGCCGAATCCGAAGCCAAATCCACCTTTTGGCTTTTTGACATCTAGATCAACGTCTGCTCCACCGCCAATATCAATATCAGCACCTCCACCAATATCAACATCAGGAGCATCAGCCTTAACCTTGATTTCTGGCTCAGGAACATCAATGTCGGCATCTGCTTTGACGTTCAAGTCAACATCTGGAACATCGACACCACCCTTGGCTTTGCCACCGAATCCAAATCCAAATCCTCCCTTCTTCTTCTTCTTCTTGTCATCATCACTGGATGATGAAGAAGAGTCTCCCTTCTTCTTTCCGCCGAATCCAAAACCAAATCCTCCTCCAATTTTTGGTTTGTCAACGTCAATATCACCTCCTGATAATATTACAGGTGTTATAACTTAATACAAACATGGTAAACAATCAGGGGATACCGAGTAAATCGAAAAATTCATGATAACAAATGCGCCACAAATTTCAGGTAGCATTTTTGGATTTGTTAGATTCTAACTAGGAAAGCTACCGATTAAAAATATACTGTTGCTCAACTTTAAAAACGTTTTAGAACTTTGTGGCAAATTAAATTCTTTTAAGACTAAATTTAAATCCCAGGTCTTCTAACCTATATAATATTATTATATCGCTATATGTAACAAATACTGTACCTATATCGATATCTGCTCCACCACCAATATCTACGTCAGCACCTCCACCAATGTCAATATCAGGAGCGTCAGCTTTAACCTTGATTTCTGGCTCAGGAACATCAATATCGGCATCTGCTTTGACGTTGAGGTCAACATCAGGTGTGTCAATACCACCTTTAGCTTTTCCTCCCATGCCAAATTTAAAGCTAGACTTCTTCTTCTTCTTTTTCTTCTTATCATCATCACTGGACCCTGATCCCTTTCCACTAAACCCGAAGCCGAATCCTCCTTTTGGCTTCTTTACGTCTAGATCAACGTCTGCTCCACCGCCAATATCGATATCAGCACCTCCACCAATATCGACATCAGGAGCATCAGCCTTGACCTTGATTTCTGGCTCAGGAACATCAATGTCGGCATCTGCTTTGACGTTCAAGTCAACATCTGGAACATCGACGCCACCCTTGGCTTTGCCGCCGAATCCAAATCCAAATCCTCCCTTCTTCTTCTTCTTCTTGTCATCATCACTGGATGATGAAGAAGAGTCTCTTTTCTTCTTTCCGCCGAATCCGAAGCCAAATCCACCTTTTGGTTTCTTGACATCTAGATCAACGTCTGCTCCACCGCCGATATCAATATCAGCACCTCCACCAATATCAACATCAGGAGCATCGGCTTTAACCTTGATTTCTGGCTCAGGAACATCAATATCAGCATCTGCTTTGACGTTCAAGTCAACATCTGGAACATCGACGCCACCCTTGGCTTTGCCGCCGAACCCAAATCCAAATCCTCCCTTCTTCTTCTTCTTCTTGTCATCATCACTGGATGATGAAGAAGAGTCTCCCTTCTTCTTTCCGCCGAATCCGAAGCCAAATCCACCTTTTGGTTTCTTGACATCTAGATCAACGTCTGCTCCACCGCCAATATCAATATCAGCACCTCCACCAATATCAACATCAGGAGCATCAGCCTTAACCTTGATTTCTGGCTCAGGAACATCAATGTCGGCATCTGCTTTGACGTTCAAGTCAACATCTGGAACATCGACACCACCCTTGGCTTTGCCACCGAATCCAAATCCAAATCCTCCCTTCTTCTTCTTCTTCTTGTCATCATCACTGGATGATGAAGAAGAGTCTCCCTTCTTCTTTCCGCCGAATCCGAAGCCAAATCCACCTTTTGGTTTCTTGACATCTAGATCAACGTCTGCTCCACCGCCAATATCAATATCAGCACCTCCACCAATATCAACATCAGGAGCATCAGCCTTGACCTTGATTTCTGGCTCAGGAACATCAATATCGGCATCTGCTTTGACGTTCAAGTCAACATCTGGAACATCGACGCCACCCTTGCCTTTGCCGCCGAATCCAAATCCAAATCCTCCCTTCTTCTTCTTCTTCTTACCATCGTCACTCGAACTTGAACTGTCCTTCTTCTTTCCGCCGAATCCGAAGCCAAATCCACCTTTTGGTTTCTTAACATCTAGATCAACGTCTGCTCCACCGCCAATATCAATATCAGCACCTCCACCAATATCAACATCAGGAGCATCAGCCTTAACCTTGATTTCTGGCTCAGGAACATCGATATCAGCATCTGCTTTGACGTTCAAGTCAACATCTGGAACATCAACATCGGCTTTACCACCGAATCCAAATCCAAATCCTCCCTTCTTCTTCTTCTTCTTGCTGTCATCACTTGATGAAGAACTTCCAGACTTCTTTTTCTTCTTGCCTCCAAAGCCGAAGCCGAAACCACCTCCACCGCCAATATCAATATCAGCACCTCCACCAATATCAACATCAGGAGCATCGGCTTTAACCTTGATTTCTGGCTCAGGAACATCGATATCAGCATCTGCTTTGACGTTTAAGTCAACATCTGGAACATCAACATCGGCTTTACCACCGAAACCAAATCCAAATCCTCCCTTCTTCTTCTTCTTCTTGCTGTCATCACTTGAAGAAGAACTTCCAGACTTCTTTTTCTTCTTGCCTCCAAAGCCGAAGCCGAAACCACCTCCAACGTCAACATCTGGCTTCTTTACGTCTAGATCAACATCAGCTCCACCGCCAATATCAATATCAGCACCTCCACCAATATCAATATCAGGAGCATCGGCTTTAACCTTGATTTCAGGCTCAGGAACATCAATATCAGCATCTGCTTTGACGTTCAAGTCAACATCTGGAACATCTACATCAGCTTTACCGCCGAATCCAAATCCAAATCCTCCCTTCTTTTTCTTCTTACCACCGTCACTCGAACTTGAAGAAGAACTGCCGCCTGACTTCTTTTTCTTCTTTCCTCCGAAGCCAAAGCCGAAACCACCTCCAACTTTTGGTTTGTCCACATCAATATCTGCATCGACTGAACCTCCTGAGGATAAATATATTGATAAAAAATATCTTATATCAAAAATGATTAAATTTTCGACTATAGCTCACAGAGATGACGTAACATTTTGAGATTCATTTTTTTCCCTCGAAATACCATGGCTTATGAAATTATTCGAAAAGATAATTTTAAAACACATTCAGTTTTTATGATATATTGAAAGAATGCTCAGCACACAAGCATATACTGATTTGAAGAATAAGCTCTACTAGTAAAGAGCAACGGAATACCTACCAATATTCGGCAAATTAGCATCAACACTCCCACCGATGTCAAGACCACCACCGATGCCACCACCGATATCAACATCAGGAGCATCAGCCTTGACTTTGATTTCTGGCTCAGGAACATCGATATCAGCATCTGCTTTGACGTTCAAGTCAACATCTGGAACATCAACATCGGCTTTACCGCCGAATCCAAATCCAAATCCTCCCTTCTTCTTCTTCTTCTTGCTGTCATCACTTGAAGAAGAACTTCCAGACTTCTTTTTCTTCTTGCCTCCAAAGCCGAAGCCGAAACCACCTCCAACGTCAACATCAGGCGCATCAGCTTTAACTTTGATTTCTGGCTCAGGAACATCGATATCAGCATCTGCTTTGACGTTCAAGTCAACATCTGGAACATCAACATCGGCTTTACCGCCGAATCCGAATCCAAATCCTCCCTTCTTCTTCTTCTTCTTGCTGTCATCACTCGAAGAAGAACTTCCAGACTTCTTTTTCTTCTTGCCTCCAAAGCCGAAGCCGAAACCACCTCCAACGTCAACATCAGGCGCATCAGCTTTAACTTTGATTTCTGGCTCAGGAACATCAATATCAGCATCCGCTTTGACGTTCAAGTCAACATCTGGAACATCAACATCGGCTTTACCGCCGAATCCGAATCCAAATCCTCCCTTCTTCTTCTTCTTCTTGCTGTCATCACTCGAAGAAGAACTTCCAGACTTCTTTTTCTTCTTGCCTCCAAAGCCGAAGCCGAAACCACCTCCAACGTCAACATCAGGCGCATCAGCTTTAACCTTGATTTCTGGCTCAGGAACATCAATATCAGCATCTGCTTTGACGTTCAAGTCAACATCTGGAACATCAACATCGGCTTTACCGCCAAATCCAAATCCAAATCCTCCCTTCTTCTTCTTCTTCTTGCTGTCATCACTTGAAGAAGAACTTCCAGACTTCTTTTTCTTCTTGCCTCCAAAGCCGAAGCCGAAACCACCTCCAACGTCAACATCAGGCGCATCAGCTTTAACCTTGATTTCTGGCTCAGGAACATCAATATCAGCATCTGCTTTGACGTTCAAGTCAACATCTGGAACATCAACATCGGCTTTACCGCCGAATCCAAATCCAAATCCTCCCTTCTTCTTCTTCTTCTTGCTGTCATCACTTGAAGAAGAACTTCCAGACTTCTTTTTCTTCTTGCCTCCAAAGCCGAAGCCGAAACCACCGCCAACGTCAATATCTGGCTTCTTTACGTCTAGATCAACATTTGCTCCACCGCCAATATCAATATCAGCACCTCCACCAATATCAACATCAGGAGCATTGGCTTTAACCTTGATTTCTGGCTCAGGAACATCTATATCAGCATCTGCTTTGACTTTCAAGTCAACATCTGGAACAGCAACATCGGCTTTACCGCCGAAACCAAATCCAAATCCTCCCTTCTTCTTCTTCTTCTTGCTGTCATCACTTGAAGAAGAACTTCCAGACTTCTTTTTCTTCTTGCCTCCGAAGCCGAAGCCGAAACCTCCGCCTATATCAACATCAGGTGCAGAAACGTCGATATCAGCATCTCCTCCAATACCACCGCCTGGAATATAACATAACGATAGAATACACGTTACTTTCCGGCACACACTTGTGGTAAATGGACATGCGATAAGTGTACGTTAAAAAGAGTGTCGTACGCAATTAATTTTATGATCTTCAGGGTTTTCTATTAAAAGAAATTTTACTTAGCAATCGTCACAGTATATACATTTTAGAGTGTTATGTATATTGAATGTTGTTAGTAATTACATTTTTACGATGCATTTTTGTTGCTCATGCCACTATAGTATACGGATTTTAATGACTTACCGAACCCACCACCAATTCCTCCCCCGATATCTAGATCAGGTGCTTCAATTTCTACTTCAGGCGCACTTACATCAGCATCTGTAAATTGACAATACGATAACAGCGTACAACACTACACATAATAATATATTGATTCGATGAAATACATTTTAATTTACAACACATCGCATATAAATTCAGCACACTTTACAACATTGCCTGTTTGTAATAAATTTAAATCCGTTATAATAACTTACCAATGCCCCCACCTAGGCCACCTCCAAAACCACCTCCGAAACCTCCTCCAATACCGCCTCCGATATCAACATCTGGTACCTCAGCCTTAACTTCGACTGCTGGTTCCGGTACATCCACATCTATGTCGGCTCCTCCTCCGACACCGAAACCTCCACCAAAACCGCCTCCAATACCGCCTCCGATATCTAGATCAGGTGCTTCAACTTCAATTTCTACTTCAGGTGTAGGTACATCTACATCTATGTCGGCTCCTCCTCCGACACCGAAACCTCCACCAAATCCACCTCCGATACCGCCTCCGATATCTAGATCAGGTGCTTCAGCTTCAATTTCTACTTCAGGTGTAGGTACATCTACATCTATGTCGGCTCCTCCTCCGAGGTCCAGACTTCCACCAAATCCACCACCAATTCCTCCTCCGATATCTAGATCAGGTGCTTCAGCTTCAATTTCTACTTCAGGTGCACTTACATCAGCATCTGTAAATTGACAATACGATAACAGCGTACAACACTACACATAATAATATATTGATTCAATAAAATACATTTTAATTTACAACACATCGCATATAATTCAGCACACTTTACAGCATTGCCTGTTTGTGATAAATTTAAATCCGTTATAATAACTTACCAATGCCTCCACCTAGGCCTCCTCCAAAACCTCCTCCGAAACCTCCTCCAATACCGCCTCCGATATCAACATCTGGTACATCAGCCTTAACTTCGACTGCTGGTTCCGGTACATCTACATCTATGTCGGCCCCTCCTCCGAGACCGAAACCTCCTCCGAAACCTCCTCCAATACCGCCTCCAATATCAACATCTGGTACATCAGCCTTAACTTCGACTGCTGGTTCCGGTACATCTAAATCTATATCGGCTCCTCCTCCGAGACCGAAACCTCCTCCAATACCTCCTCCAATGCCACCTCCTGCAATGAAATATTTGTAATATTTGTAACAAATTATTAAAATCAGTACTAACACGAGGAAAAAAAATTCATTCGCCGTTAAAATCGAAAGTTGCATTCCTTAAAAGTTTTCCGTTTGGTTCTTACCGATGTCAACATCTGGTGCTTCAGCTTTCACTTTTATTTCAGGTTCTGGCACATCTACATCTAGGTCGGCTCCTCCTCCGAGATCCAGACCTCCACCAAGACCTCCACCAAGACCTCCACCGAGACCTCCACCGAAACCTCCTCCAAGACCTCCACCGAGGTTAACATCTGGGGCTTCTGCTTCAACTTCAACACTGGGAGCGGCAATATCAGCACCTCCGCTCAGGTCTAAACCTCCTCCAAGACCACCTCCGATGTCTCCACCAGCGTCTCCACCAACGTCAATACCTCCACCGAGGCCACCACCGAGACTCAATCCTCCACCTCCTCCGAGGTCAAGTCCTCCGTTAGCTTCACCTCCAGCTCCGGCATCTGCATCAGCTCCACCACCAAAGCTGAATCCAACTGAGAGAGTACGAAACTTAGATAGTTTGTAAAATTGGGCTATATAATGTCATCAGATTTTAAAAATTCTATCAAGAAACTTGAATTTTTTTGATTGAGCGAGTTCACTTGTATTTCGACTTTATAGATCTACACTACTTACATCCGGACTTCTTCTTCTTCTTCTTCTTCTTTTTCTTCTTTTTCTTTGAGTCATCCGATCCAGAACTACTCGAAGATGAAGAACTGGAACTGTAAAATAAAGACTAAGTTAGCATACCGATGGATAGAAACGTTTTATTTGATTACATTTACAGCGTTAGACTTTATAAAATTTATAATATATGCCTTATTAGCCTAATAAATGTGTGATAATTATTGCAAAACTGATTATAATTACGTTTCGAGTCAGTCTGTACTGGTTTAGGGTGTACCAAGCATTCCTAATCGGTTTATAGCATAGGCACATATAACACAATTTACAAAGTACAAAAAATAACACCGGCACACCACTTTCACTACATTAAGTGGAAATGATCGTAATCAGACCTAGAGGATGAACTAGAGGATGAACTAGAGGATGAGCTCGAAGAAGAACTGAAAATTTCTTCAATCAGTTTCAGTTTAACTCTTGTAAGATTTCTGTGTTTTTATTAGTAATGATGCAACTCCATCGCGTCAGTTGTTATTTCTTGCTCATTGTGAATAAGATAATACGCTTAGGAAAACCAAGCGTCAGAAATTCAATTTTTCAACATTAACAAATAGTAAAACACATACCTGCTGCTGGAACTGCTGCTACTGGACGATGATTTAGAAGATTTGGAAGACTTCTTCTTACGCTTCTTCTTTTTCTTCTTTCTGCAGAATCCAGGTTAGTTACGGAGGGGTTTACACAAGTTATTATATTATTTTTCAAGTTATTATATTCATGTTTTAAAGGAAATAAAACGGTGTCTGACTCTATGTTATCGAATTTACACCCCCTCTTATTGTTTTATAAATTGTATAATCCAAACAACGGTCCACCAGCCTCCCAATTACACACACTCCAGATCCTCAATATTCTACACACTTTACAAACCCTCATGAAACCAGAGCGGGGACTCTACACGTTTAACATTAAAACATTACATACTTTAATAGGTAGCCAGCTGTGCTGACAAGAAACAAACAGTAGACACGTCTAATTTTAAATGTAAACTACTCGAAATTGAAAAAGCTGATTTGAAATTAGAATTAGATTAGGAAAGCTTGAAACAGTAGACACGTTTAAATGTTAACTAATCCAGTCTGTTTTCAAGTGGAATTTTAGGTTTAATCTAAAGCTGTGCAGCTTGAGTTTTAACTGTAATTCTACTGCTTCAAACACTAGTAGACACGTTTAAATGAAAACTATCCGAAATTTGAAAAGTTCTTTTGAAATTAGATGCTCAACTTAATAATTTTGTCGCCAATTAGAAAATAATTAAGGTCTTAACCTGGTCCTGTCTGTTTCCAAGTAGAATTTAAATCTGTACGGCTTGTAAGTAACTCCATTACTACATGTGCACTATCATCATGGTAACATGTACACTATTTTAAAAGTGAACCAGCCTCCGGAATATTGCTCATTTTCACTACTATATGAATAATAATATGTATTTTCCTGTCAATACCGGCAGTGACATGAGTTTTGACAACCGGCGGTGTTCAGTCAATACCGGGGGTGTTTAGACTGAATGTAATAGAGGGGTGAGAGGTGAGAGGTGAGGGTGAGAGGTGTCGACAAGCTGGCTAAGCCGGGCAGTATGTAAATAAACCCTCAACAGTCAACACGGTGAAATCCAAATATACCCTCTCAATTCTCACACACACTCGACTAAGCACCGCGTACACACTTAGTTATATCAACTACCTACTCTATTTATAGTTCACTACCTTCTCTCAAAGTATTAATCTCACTAAGTACATTACCGGTAATAACACCGGCCGGCTTACAGCCACCTGTAAAGCTGTAAGGGACCAGACTATTAACCTCTGAGAGTACTATTACAGTTAACAGTATTTCCTCTGATAACCCTCTGTAATAACCATGATAACCCTTATAAGCCGGCCTTACAACAATGCCAGGTTAAAATGAAACAGTGAACTACCAGAAAACCCCGTTATGCCAGAAAAACCCGAACCAAAAAACCCCGTACTGATTATCAATAACCCTATATCTCTATACAACCCCTACAACATGGCCCGTTAACCTGGACTCAATGGATTAGTCTATTACAGGGTACCCTTGGTACCCCTGGTCTATTACGCTACAAAGTGTTGATGTTAATTAGCCAGGATGTTAACTGTGGACTTTACACTCCGAACAAGATGCTATATGTTATAATGCAGCTTATTCACTGTAGTTGATAGGTCACGTGGTTACTCCTTTATAATGTATGTCAGAGGTCACGTGGTTACTCCTTATTAAAGATACAAGCTGACTGTAAGTCTCAACATTCCATTAAGTGAGCTGTAGAGAGCTGAGTGTGGTCAAAACACGTACATAAGACAAACTGGCTGTAGTCCACGTTACATTAAACTAAAACAATGCCAGGTTAAAGTGAGACATTGAAAAATGCCAGGTTAAAGTGAGACATTGAACAATTCCCATTTAAAGTGAGACATTGAACAATTCCCGGTTAAAGTGAGACATTGAACAATTCCCGGTTAAAGTGAGACATTGAATAATTCCAGGTTAAAGTGAGACATTGAACAATTCCCGGTTAAAGTGAGACATTGAACAGTGCCAGGTTAAAGTGAGACATTGAACAATTCCCGGTTAAAGTGAGACATTGAATAATTCCAGGTTAAAGTGAGACATTGAACAATGCCCGGTTAAAGTGAGACATTGAACAATGCCCGGTTAAAGTGAGACATTGAACAATGCCAGGTTAAAGTGAGACATTGAACAATTCCCGGTTAAAGTGAGACATTGAACAGTGCCAGGTTAAAGTGAGACATTGAACAATGCCAGGTTAAAGTGATACATTGAACAATTCCCGGTTAAAGTGAGACATTGAACAATGCCAGGTTAAAGTGAGACATTGAACAATGCCAGGTTAAAGTGAGACATTGAACAATGCCAGGTTAAAGTGAGACATTGAACAATTCCCGGTTAAAGTGAGACATTGAACAATTCCCGGTTAAAGTGAGACATTGAACAATTCCCGGTTAAAGTGAGACATTGAACAATGCCAGGTTAAAGAGAGACATTGAACAATTCCCGGTTAAAGTGACACATTGAACAATTCCCGGTTAAAGTGAGACATTGAACAATATCAAAAAACCCCGGACCAAAAAACCACATACTAATTTATAATAACCGTTGCATGTTAATCCAATTACACCGAGCTTACAATTTCGTGCCTACTTATGTCCGGCTCTTTTCGATTGTGCTGTGGTATAAATTGTAATATCACAAGCAAGGTATCTTCACAAGCAAGGTATCTCCTCTTAGTTATCTGTCCCAAGTTATACTTATATACATGTATTTGTGTAGTAGTATAGTAGTATGTAACTCATACATATAGCCTTCTACCTAAACCCCACACCATTCTATTCTTTTCAAACACGCAGTCCTATAATTTAATTTATAATTTAATAACCAACATAACTTAATTTTAAAACGATTACGACTCATCACACGAACTTTAAGTTGTTCAGTTTAGATCAACCACACAGATATTTGCAAACTTCTCCCGCTCCCCATTTCAAAGGTCTATCTAACAGTTTAGACGGCAGTATATTTAAATTAAATTGAATATTTAATTTTAATTTTCTAATTTGTTACTGCAGGAAGGTGTAATGATCAATTTACAAAAAAGATTAACTTTTTAATATTCAACAGGAGTGCCCGTTATAGCTAAAGAAATTTAAAAACTAAAAGACAACATTTTGCTGTTATTGAACCATCCCGCGAAATAATAAATTGTAAATAAGAAAGTGACTTACTCTGAAGATTTACTGGATCTTGATTTGGAAGAGGAGGAGGAAGAGCTAGTGGAAGAACTCCTACTGTCACTATGAGACTTATTGCGTGACTTTCTATCTTTCTTTGCGTCAGAATCGGAAGAAGAAGACCTCTTCTTTTCCGCGCTGAGGATTGTTTGATTAGTCAAGTAATTAACTATATTTATTATTTATGAATTGTGAATCAGAATGTTGTGAAGTGTGAAGCTGCCCATGAGACAACCAATTCAGAAAACACGTTTTCCTGATGGGCATAGATCAACTGAACGCTTAAACCATAATACAGCTTGCTTTCAGTCGCCAACAATGACCAGTCCAATACCCGGACAAGTCCCATACCCGGACCAGTCCCATACCCGGACCAGTTCCATACCCGGACCAGTCCCATACCCGGACCAGTCCCATACCCGGACCAGTCCCATACCCGGACCAGTCCCATACCCGGACCAGTCCCATACCCGGACCAGTCCCATACCCGGACCAGTCCCATACCCGGACCAGTCCCATAACTGGACCAGTCTCATAGCCGGACCAGTCCTAAATCCCCTATCCCAGATGTAAGAGTAAAGTACGTGACTATAACTCATTGACACGCATGACGCATTCTGTCATGAAGAGTAAAGTGTTTATAAACTCAAGCATTCCGTCAAAAAAAATTTTAAACTTGCATGTTTTTGCTTGTGAATATTACTGTAATAAATATTTCCCGCTCTGTTCATTGTTTCACACAACAAAAGTCAGTGTCACAGTGCATGTTACGTGTGCATGTGTGTGTGTTTGTGTGTGTTTGTGTGTCTTGGCTCGCCGAGTTGTTTACGAAATGTACTTCACTCATTCTCACGTACTATCTGCGTGTCAATGTGTGCTGTCGAGCACTACAATGAAGAATCTACAATACGTGTGTTACTGTTTGTAGTCACGTGGCTGATAATGTCACGTGGTAAAGACTGTGAGCACAAGGCAGTCTGTCAGAATGTTAGATTCGCCGCAAATATTATACGAAATCCTAAAAACTATAAGGTTGTCGGAATTTTTTCAAATGACGGTCAATGCTTTGTCAGAGAACAGTAAATAAATATTTAACACTAGTGATATAAGCAGTGAGATCAGCAGTGCTATAGTAGTAGTACTAGCAGTGAGATCAGCAGGCCGGGTTACACTAGCAGTGACTCTGTGAATTTCACAAACAGTGATCTAACTTTACGCGTACTCTCAGGCTAAAGAATGTGCAGCTTTCAAGTGAACAATTCAAGTTTCCCTTTTCTTTATAGTCTTACTTGAAAAGTGTTCGGTATTTTTCATGGAATAAATAAAGTATTGTTGTAAAAGGTGTATCAAAAACCTTCACCAATTTTCGGTGTTCAAAATATAAGGCTCCTACTATATAAGCACACATAAGGTAGATCCCGTCTTCAAATCCTGTCGTTTCAACAGTAAGATAATCATACATAGAATGAAGACAAGAACTGAAGACGAACTATGGTAGTCGAAAAATATAAGATAAAGTGATGCTGACCATGAAGAATTACCTAACGGGTAGCGGGACAGGGGGTTTGAAAACTGGTAGTTTCACTGCTGCATCCCCGGATACTCCAGCATCCCCGGATACCCCAGCTTTAGAAGACGCTGCTGCTGCTACTGATGCTGATGGTTTCATCTGAACTTTACCACCCTTCCCAACTTTCACATCAATTACTCTAGCTGGTGCTTTTTTGGTCCCGCCGAACATCGCGATCATAGACGACACCCTCTTTGAAGAGTCCCAGTTGCCTTTAGCATCCACCCTAACATCACCACTAGCGGAGACCTCGACTTCAGGATCTGCCATTCTCAGTTTGTCTGATAAACGTGTAACTATCTAATATCCTAAACCTATATTAGCTATACAAATGATATGAAGTTAGAAAGTTTCCTTATTTATGGTTGTGAAACCAAATATTAACTCATCAGAATTCCAGTGCCAAACAGCAATTGACCGACAAAGAATATAAAAATAGGATTAAGGTGGGCTAAAAAAATGAAATTCGCCACTTCTAACCATCTTTACTTTTTTACAAAAAGGTGGATGGAAAAATATAAAAATAACTGCACGAAACTACGAGTTCTGCACGAAACAACGAGTTCTGCACGAAACTACGAGTTCTGCACGAAACTACGAGTTCTGCTCGAAACTACGAGTTCTTCACTAAACTACGAGTTCTGTACGAGTTGGTGGACCTACAAAGCAACGGGAATTAAGTAAGACTGCGGCAATAGATGACGATCAGCTATCAGCAGTGACCAGGTAACACAAACGGCAAATCCGACAACCGCTCAACACCCGACTATAAAGGCTGGTGTATTCTTTATACTCTCACACACTCACAGCCTCGCAGTGTGTTTTCATCGTTTTTACACGAAAAGTTGGTGCAACGTAAGTCCGCAAAGTGTCAGCGGCAGTCTGGAGAACGTACTATAACGGCGCCTGTATCACACTATGAACTGCAAGTCACTTGGTTACTTACAGTTAACAGTTACTGAGTAACCAAAAAAGTTACTAAGTTACCAAAAGGTAGCACAAAGCCGACATAAGAACCTGCAGGTAGGACGGACTAACGAGGCTTTTATCACACTATCAACTTAAGTCACCTAGTTACTAGCAGATATGAGTAAGCACCGGCTAAACCTGTGACTATTTTAAACCCTGGTACCGTGGTGTAAACAAGCACAAAAAGTAGGCGCCAACCCACTTCACTATCATAAATGGTAACGTTACCATAGTAACACTACCATATAAGGCGCCAACTCACTTCACTACAACAGTTAAAAAGCTTTGTGTGCAAAGCACAACCTCTTTATCAACTAAAGAATGTGACACTCAACACTATTACACACGCAAACTGACTAAATTATTCAACAGGAGGGTTTTCACGCGTGAAAATTTATTCCTTGGCTACGGATAAAACCTCAAGTTCATGAGTAATGTTGATACCCAAAGTTAGCGACCGGCATTCTATATGCTCGTAAAGTCAGGACAGCGTAGACTTTGTCCCATGACGAAGATCACTTCCCAGACTAATTGTACACGTTAACAAATATCCTAGTTAACTAGGATATTTTTCACGTGTAAACTAGGATTTTAAATAAATCTACGCGATCCTACATACGAAAATCAAAGTTGTGTCCATGATGATTTACATGATGATTTATGATTACATAAACATATCATGACGACTGGAGAGTACACCGAGAGGTGGTCACCTAGAACACACCGCTGATATCTAAACTTTCTCTAAAAAACAGAATCATAAGGCATTCTGCGCCAATTTTCTCTGTCAAAAGTAATATTCCTAAGAAACTTTAAACATCCAAACAATGACTGTAAATATATGTACAACATGTGTGTCTCGCACCAGACTGTGACTAATAAATAGGAACTTATAAATAGAAGCTTAATATGCGATATATTATTTTATTCAGATATTATTTTAGACAAGCTATACGCGCAAGAAGCTGAGATAATGTAATATATTATGTAAGGCATGAGTTGATGGGTATATAACTATTCAAGTAAAGAATGTTCCCACAACAGCACAGAAAACTTTACCTGGGGACCCCAGGCTATTATGTTCATAAACATAGAGACTCGGCGGAATGACCGGCGGAATGACCGGCTGAGCGCCGCTCAGTAAAGAAATCTCCACATAGTATAATATTGTATGTGTACCCATGGCTTAACAATAACAAACCTAACGAGCTCCCCACATTGAAGAGTCACTTTTCTAAATTATACTATGTACAATTATACGAGATGAAACCAATCAGGCAGGATGACGTGGTTTTTAATGAGGAAAGATGAGGGAATGAGAATTGAGGAGTTCCAGTAGTGTAGTTGAGTATAAGTGTAATTCTACAATCTACATGCTCCATATCTACCATCCTTTCTATTATACGTGTGGAACCTACATACAGTCTTTATATTGTTCTCATCATATTCATCGTCATTTTTTGAAAAAAATAACGTTACCTACGTATGCAGTTCTGTTAAGTGAAAAAAAAGTTACCAAACTGCAGTTCTGAAGTTGAACAACAACATTACCTACAGTTAATCTGAAGTTCTTAAGCCCTGTCAATATATTAACATGCTGGCTGCTGCTGACAACTAAAACTTCGCTGCAGTTGACAGGCAGTTCCAGTGTTCCACACCTTCAACCAAACTTCAACACAATTAGTCAGCACAATGTGCGATCACGTGACCCCATTACGGAACATTAAGCCCAAACTTTCATGTCTAACAGTTAAAACAGAGCAAAAGATGCGCAGCGTGTTAAAAAGATGTGCAGCTGGTAACAGTCTTCTGTCTGGATAGCTTTATCATACCAGGTCTAGATATAGTAATAAAGTCACTGTTATAGCTCTATAGAAACCGAACAAAACACCAACCAGGTGAACCACACACAAACCGTCGGGATCATCTTTCCTGGGCCACTCTCTCCACTATTAGCTTAATTCAATCTATCTACGGAAACATAGCTCAAATTCTCTTGTGAAGCGATCCGCCTGGAAGATGTTCAATGGACCAGCTGGTATATTTAACAAATTTGTTGATGAAGGAGCATAGCTTACATTCACGTGTATGAGGCAACATTCCAGAATATTATATCCTCCGACTTTATGTCACATAAAATAGTTTTATATAAATTAATCGCACACTCTAAGTTGGCGGAGAGATGATCAAATACCGGCCCTAGTTCTCGGGATCTAATTATCAGGGAAACTAAATCTAATTGCTGAGATGAGGGCGCCTAACTTGGAATTCGGCTGTATATTATCCTGCAGATTCCTAAAATACCGGTTAAAGACAATAAATAGGATCTAATCCAGCGAAGGAAGAAGAGCTTGGAACGGCGCGTGTAAGGAAAGAATGCGATGTTTCAGGCCGCTCTCTCTCTCTCTCTCTCTCGATCTCTCTCTCTTTAAAGCTGAGCCACAGAATAAAGCCCGCGTGATTTGATGTTTTGTGCTTGCGAAGTCTATTACTCTACTCTTTTCTGGATTTTAGCCACGAGAAGAAAGAGTAAGAAGGATCATGAAGCGTAGTAACTTTAGAAGTTGGCGCTATTTTCCAGACTACACTCAGAGTGTGACTGAGAAAGAGTGTGGCCGGGCATGATCTGTGGAAGAGGCGGCTGAAATCTAATTCTAGCGGGCCGGGAAATGTTTTAGTCTTAGGTAATAGTGAACGTAGCTTTACTCCGAGTGCGTGATTAGTGCGGAATAGTCTAGAATAATAAGCCGTCTATTCAGAAAGCCTGTAACATTCTCATAGGATTATTCCATCAAAACTATTTATTAAATCGATCTTGAATAAACGCGATATTTCTAGAATCACCATTTTAACATGAACATTGAACAACCATTCGTAATCTACCATTTTTAACTTTTTACAAAAAGGTGGATAGAAAAAATAAAATATATTTGCCTCGTTATATTCTATTGTGCACGAAATTAAGAGCGGGCTTTTTCATCCAGACTATAAAATTACATTTTTGAATGAAATGGTAAGGAAAAAGGGGCAAAGTTAAGTTTTATAACGGAGTTATAGAGGAGGTCGAAGCAGGGTAAGGTTTTGGAACTGGGGTAGGAGCTAGAAGTTATGTTTCAAATATTATCGTATTATGAATTATCCGGAATGTCGTGATAATTGATAATACGAGGAAGAGGAGTGGACAATACTTGCATATCTTCAAAATAATAACCCGTCACCACAAACTATTGCCTTTTTAAGTTACAAAAATGTCTCCTGATTATAGCAACAAAACATTCTGATAGAAGGTTAGCTAATTGCTAGAGAGAGGGAGAGAGAGAGAGAGAGGTCTAAAGAAACTGCAGTTGAAACACAGGTGGATAGAGAGAGAGGGAGAGAGAGAGAGAGGTCTAAAGAAACTGCAGTTGAAACACAGGTGGATAGAGTAACTCAACTCACTCAGACCAACTCACTCGACTTGGTGACAGATTCCTGCTGTGGCCGAGTTGCTACCAATGGGTGCTTGCTCTATCACACGATGACAGTGTACACAGTAGGCTTGTCGGATGAACGTACTGGACAGCTGATGATGAGGCAGGGAGGAGGAGGAGGGGAGGAGGGTACCGGAGAGAAACTAAGAACTCATCCGACACCCGTCATATAACATATTGTAAGATACCATGGAGAGAAGTAGCAAGGTAGGTTACAGGGAAACAAAGCTGTGGGTGAGCTGCTGAAACACTGTCCACGAGTATATATATGCTCGGGCCGTGAACAGTGTACAATTTGCAGGCAGTCAAATTCACGCTCAGACATGCCTTGTAGTACCGTGTCTTGCGGAGGTGCCGTGTAGTACCGTGTCTTGCGGAGGTGCTGTGTAGTACCGTGTCTTGCGGAGGTGCCGTGCTGTAACTGTAAATACCTTCTGGTCTAAAGGATCCCTCACATTCTTCACCTCGGGGAATTCCTTCTTCAAACCTTGGCGGCATAGATGGTGCGTGGATATCAACTTGATCTATCTAATATCTTGATGATTTAATGAAGCTCGATGAGTTTTAGGCACATTTTTTTGAAATCCCATAACAACGTCAAAACGAGCCATCTAGCTACACGTTACAAACATAACGAACGACTTTTCAAAATACAGAAACCATGACGAGGACTACAATGAAAGCTCTCAGTCACGCAGTGAAAAGCAAATACAAGATATATTAATGTGACGGATTGCACTAACGACCCTGCCTCTGTAACCACTACAAATCACTCTTTTAGCGGTAGACCTGTCCGAACATACCTCCCACATTAGGAGTTAGAACCTCCAAATAGTTGGGATACCGCACGTGTTTGCAATATCCGAGGAGGAGATGGTCGTGA